TCCGTGGCGTGCTCCGCTGTTGTTTTTATGTTTTTGTTAGTTTGTCCTGTTTTTAATTATATCCCTGCAATCAGTTTTACCAGAGACGAATTGCTGGACATTAGAAAGTACACGCCACCCGATATTTCACCGGTTTTTGATTATTCTGATGTTTTGCTGGACATTGTTGTCGGGGGAGCTGCTGCGCTGATCAAGCGCTTCAGGACGCGCAGACAGGGGAAGCGAGCCGGCGCGCTCGTGAAGCTCAGACAGCGCGGATTCAGAACGCCGTTGCCAAGCATCCATCTGGCAAATCTCCGCTCTCTACCCAACAAAACGGACGAACTTCTTCTGCTCTCCCAGACAAATAAGGATTTTTCAAACTCTGCTGCTCTGTGTTTCACGGAAACCTGGCTGAAAGATGCCATTCCGGACAGCGCGTTGAGTCTGCCGGGCTTTCAGCTGTTCAGAGCGGACCGCGACGCAGAATCAACGGGGAAATCACGCGGCGGCGGGACATGCTTTTACATCAATGAGAGGTGGTGTACAGATGTAACTGTGTTAAAGAAGATGTGCTGTTCAGATCTAGAAGTGCTCTTCATTAATTGCAAGCCGTTCTATTCGCCGCGGGAGTTTTGCTCGTTCATTCTCGTAAGTGTGTACATTCCTCCGCAAGCACATGTGAGCACTGCTTTACAGAAACTCGCTGATCTGATCACACAGAACAACAACACCTGGACTCTGTTTTAATCATTCTCTGGGATATTTCAAGATAACGTTCTGTAAGGCATCTCAGCACTCCAACAGTCCCAAATGCATGGGTTCACACATTTAATTACAAAACATTCCAGAGCCAAGCTGCTCACACATTTGAAATCCCAAAATTTCCACATGGCTAAATGCTGGCAGCATTAAGAACATACAGCAGCATTAATGCATGTTTTTTAGTGAACATTGTATAAACAAATAAATACATTGGATACCCTACATTACAGCCTGAGCAAACATAATGAGTTGAGTACACAGTGTACGTGTCAAAACTCTCTCTGAATAAATCACAGGTACGTTGACGCGGACACTGCTGTGAACAGAACACACCTTGTGGAACAGACTGGGGAAATATCAACGTCCTAATGTGCGAACAGTGTATAAATGAACGAGAGCTAATTGCAATACCATTGGCAAATGGTAGACGACTCCAAGAAGAAACAACATCTGTATTTTGCAACAGTTATTCCACATTGGTTATTCACATTTCAGCCACAGATCTCCTCTTCCTGTAAATTACATTTATGATAGCATACACTTTTAGTAGGGCACCAAGGACGTTTTCCACATTTGAATATTTTCTTTCAGAATTATCAATTGAAATACACAGAAATTATCATATACCAAATTAGCTGAGAGCTTGCTGTTCATTAGGATACAAAAACATTTGCAATTCAACACATAAACAAGCTGGGTTTGATTAGTTCACAAATTGGAATGAATAGGACATGAAACGCAAATCTTATTCTAAACAGCCTTCCATTAAATATAATTTTTTTTGAATATGGATGAATTGAAGGATCAGCAGCACATGCTGAGATATGAGAATGCTGTATTTTTGGACTAGGTCAAAACTCTGGGCCATGTCTTCAGTCTTTGTTTTACTGAAGGGTTATATAGAACATTTCAGAGAAGTGTAAGGTCACATGAGTCCATCTATTCCAGGGTATGTTTGTTCTCATGAGTCTTTTGTCTTGAAATCTCTTGAGTATGTGGACCTTTTGGGAAAATTATCAAATTTAACAACAGCAAAAAAAAATTCTACAGTTCTACAGTAAGAGCAAGTTCAACGGTAGGAGCAAGAAAAAACAGCATTAAAAAAACCTTTAAGTTGAGATCTTAATAAAAAAAAATTAGTTTGATTTTGCGTTCATTGTGAAATAAGCATGGCCTGTTTGGGCTACCATACTCCACAACTGCAGTGTTGATGTTTAATTGAATATTAATAAAATATAACTATTAAATAAAATAGTTCAACTTAAAAAAAAAACTAAGAAAATAACTAATCTAAAATTGAAATAATAAAAAATAAATACAATTATTAAAAATAAAATTAACTGTTAGTATCGATTATTATTAATTTAAAAACAAATGACAAATCACATTTTTTTTTAAAAATCCTAAAACTTAAACCAAAATTAAACTTCAAAATATTAATCAGAATGAGATTTACTGCCAAATATGTTTACACGCACAAGGAATTCATCTTCGTGACAGAAGCTTCATATATATGTATGTGTGTATACATTAATCTTTATATTTCATCTGCTCTTTATATATCCAGAAGTTATTGGATGGCTTCGAAAGAAAGCATTAAGAATTCTTGAAGAATTCTTAAAGACAGGTTTTTGCAGTGAAATACAGCACAAAAGTGGTACAGCCATTTAGTGGTTTGCTCATGAACCTTCTTTACCACCTTACCGGTGAAAATTTTCAGGGAAGTTAACACCAGGACAAAAGTTGATGTTAGTCATTGAGAATGCATTCATTACTATAATGACCACAGGCGGTCTCAGACACATTGAAAGCATGACTGCAATTCTTGGCCAATCATTAAAGTCTGATTACTTAGTTTCTAGTCATGTACTTATGGAGCACCTTCCCAGAGAGGGATAATTTTGAGTAAAAAAAAAGTTTTTGTCAATTATTTTGCTGTAGACTGCTCTCGGATTCTTAGAAACACATTTTATTTGTCCAGTTATTGCATGGGGGGGGCTGTTATCCATCTCTGAACAAAGTCAACTTGACTGGGCTCATTAGCTAATTGCCAAATTGCTTCTACCATCCTGTTTAAAAAAACAACAAAAAAAACATCTAAACAACCAGAGCCAGCATTGCCTGACCTTTGAAACAATGTAGCATATTAATCTGGCTGGTTTTAATAGTTCCCTTTTTTTTTTTTGCTTAAGTAAAAAGCAAAGTTTTAAGTTAATATATTAATAGAACCAATACTATATGTAGAGATCCAATAAAAATGCACCCAGAAACCCACATTGTGTGATAAAATATTTGGCATCATCAATATGCCCATGTTGGTGTAGTCTCATCTGTGCAAACTGAGTAAATGATTACAAAAATAATTACACCTGAATAAACACTGTGGAGATGCATAAATAAATACAGAAATGACAGACATAGGAGATTATTTTTTTTCTTTGAAAATCGTATTCTTAACCATAGTGAATTAAACACTGAAAATAAAAGACAATATGTTAGATTACGATACAATTCAGTTAGAAGGTATAAGACATAGCACACTATAATAACTGTGAGCATGCAAAGAGGCCAATTTAAAGCATTTGAAGTGTAACTGCATTGAACTATGATATATTTCTTGACTATGTTTATGTTCTTCGGTACAAAGTGTTAATGCATGCATGGGCAAGAATAAATAAATTCAGACTTTTAAATGAGTTTAAAATGAATAAATACCTGAAGGCAAAAGGCAATCTAATGGAGCAAATTCATCCATGATCATGTTTATAATAAGCTGGATTCATCAACTGTAGAAGAAAAACATATACAATATTAAAAGACCACAAAAAAACGACTGTTTCTGTAGAGTGAATGTTAGAAAACACTCTCTGTTTTGAGAATGCCTTACCCCTCCTTTCTCACTCTTTCTCTTTCCTTCTCTGAATCACCCCTCCTCTATCTGCTCTCTCTCTCTCTTGTATGGTGTTTGAATGTCTCTTACGCAATATTCAAGGTAAAGGAAGTCTATTCCTTATATGGATATGTTTTTCTGTATATGTGGCAATTTTATACAAAACACATGTTCTTGGGAAAAACATCCTGTATGGATATGTCCCCCTATCCTCATTGGTTAAGAGGGTAAAAACTCCCCTCGACATGCCTATATAAGATCTGTATTTCTGTGAATAAATTGAAGTATTGAGAATACATGGACTGTGTGTTTTCTTACTTCCCGGCCGTATTTATTTACACTTGGAGAGACTGAGAAAATTTCACGGTGGCAAAGAGAATATCGAGGGACCAAATTGTTATTTTTATTAACAGTGAATATCTGACAAATTAGAAGTTCTAATCAAAACAACAGCTTTCCATTATGACAGATAGAGAAATGCTGAAAACTAAAACACAATAGACCATTTAAAGTGTTTAAAATACACGATAAAAATCACAGAAATGGAAGAAATGTTCAGCTATTAAGAGGATCAGATCACTCACCGTCTTGTCTACATGTAACTCTTTGTCCTGTGAACACTAACTTATATTACTTATTTGTTTTGCCCCTGTAATAGATTACTAGCTTACCTTAAGGTCTCCAGTCTTACTCTTATTCAGTTTATTCATCCCAAGAACCTCCCAGGATCCCATTTAAAAAAAAGAAAATACAATAGTCACTGTCATGAACTGCACAGTAACATGAAGGTAGAGGATCCAAATGCAGTAGTTTATTGAAGGAGTAATGCACAAACGTAATCCAAAGGCAGGCAAAGGTCATACACAAACAGGAAGGAATAGGAGACGCGTCGTCCATCTTTTTTTACAGTCTATGGTGACAACACATTTGCGAGTGTGATGTTGCTTTTATACAACAGTTCAATAAACAAAAGTTAATACTGGGAAACGTAAATTTTAGACAAAATATTGGCAGTTACTTTTGTATTTTTGCTTTGTCAACGAAAATAGTACAAAACAGGCTCAAACGCTGCATGTCTCCAAGCAACACACTGTAGTAGCGGTGTTTTTTTTTTGACTAGTTCAGTGTTTTTGAACGAATCTCTTGAGTGAATGTGTGATGAGTCAGTAGCTTGAGGATCCATCTGCAGTTTATTAGACAAAAGCAGTACAAGGTAGGGCAGTAAACAGTAGTAGTATAGGATAACCAACAGTAGACGTAATCCAGAGAACGGGCAGAGAACTGGAGCTGGCGGCGAGCAAACACAGTAGATAAACAGGCTAAAGGGCTCGGGGCTGGCAGCAAGAATCAGAAAACGAGATAAACAGTCCAGGTCAATACACAGGCAGGCAGAATAACAGCACATGCTCAGAAATGATCACCAGTGCAAATCAAGACTTCGCACTGAAGAGCAGATAAGAGTGCCTTAAATAGGTGTGTGAGATAATTGAAGACAGGTGCAGGGTGATCAGTTCCAGGTATGAAGGCTGATGGGAAATTGAGTCCGAATGAGGTGGTTAATACTCGGGTGAAGGCTCCCTCTGGTGGTGCAAGAGACGTAGTGCGGGAGCCTCATTTGTAACAGAATGATTAGAAAATACTATTTCAGTCTTTCAACTTCAAAATTAAGTTTAATTCAGTGTTATTTATTAAATTATAAAATTTGTAACTGTAATATGCTCTTCGATATTAAAGTTTGAATGTAAAGTTAATATATTTTAAATGTACTAAATTACAACTTCATTATTATAAATATGTAATTAGAAATATATTTAAATATATGACTAAGTTTCAATAGAAATTACATTAAAGTATATTTTCGTTTACTATCAATGTACATTTGTCAGGACTCTTTAACCATATTTCAAAGACAACAGAAGTTATGAAATAACATATAAAAAAGGTATTTAAGTCAGTTAAAAAAGCACTCTAAAATTCAGCCTATAGCCTAATACATTTTCATTTAATTGCAATAAACATGAATGTCCAAAAACATAAACTACAATATCATTCTTTTTCACTAAAGTTTTGACAGACATTTCATTTAAATCACAAACTAAAAAGCTTCAAGCTTTAAGACCAGAAAAAAAAGAATTGCATTGACTGGTGTATCTTGTTCTGAAGCAGATATATTATCCTCTGTTTATGACAGCAGTGGTTGAGAGGACAGCACTTTGAGCTTTATATGCAAGATAAATATATAATTATTTACTCAACAGACAGTGCAAAATGTCATTACTTGGATCAATCCTGCTGAGAGCAACAGATCAATGCAGGTAGAGAGGTGTATCCCTAACACTCTGCTAAACTGGATCAACATTTCAACTAAAAGGGTCTAATCCAACCTGACACCCACAACACTATTGATGAAAGTAGAGTGCTGTCAAAAAGAGATTGCACCAGAAACTCACAAACTCAAGCAGGTGGGAATAGTTCACCCAAAAATAAAATTTTGCTGAAAATTTACTTACCCTCAAGCAGGGATTGAAATTCACTTTTTCACTCAACAGCCAATTTGGCTAATACATTTTTAAGTTAACGGCCATTCATAACTTCTACTAACCAAAAAAAAAAAAAAAGAGACAGAAATAAACCAACAGTTTGAGGCTGTCTACACTGGGCTTGACAAAGCAACCGTTGCAAATCATTTTGTGTCAGTACTAGGGGTGAGCAATATTGACAAAAATAATATCTCAATATTTTATTGATAAAGATAATTAGACGATATTTTGCTGAGTGTGTTATTGTGCTGATATCTTAAGGACTACCGTGGACAGCTGACTCCTAAAGTTTTTGATATATTTCATATTTTGTGTGGTCAGTTCACAGCAGTGATAGAAATTAAGCTTTTCCAATAAATTTAAATGGATTTTTACCTTTTATGGACATTTTTACCTTTATAAAGCCATTTTTTTCTAAAAGTGTGCATCATCTTTTAAGTCAAATTCTTACATTTAATCAGTCAATTATAATAATAATACATTTAGGCTGTTACTAAACAAATGAAATCAGTATCAATAAAATTAATCTTTGCAGAAGTTGCAAATGAAGTGGCATTTAGATGCATTTACACGTTAATGCAGCTTAGAGGGACATGGAATGCTTTAGCCTGCAGTTACAAATGCATAAGTAATGTTTTGATATTTTAAACATGAAATGTTGAATGCTGATATTTGAAATTATTTAAAAAATGAAAAGAATGTTTGGAATGTTTTTTGTTGACGAAATAACGCAGAAATAGCGCAAAAACAGCCAATATGCTGTCTAAAACGTAAGTCTCTTGATAGTAACTTATTCTTTATTGAACTGTTAATAAATAAATATCACATTTGTAACCATGCTGATTTTTTAAGAAGAAACGGCACTCTTCCTGTGATATTGATTAACTATATTAATTGATATAACTATATGAATATATAAATTTTCTGCCCCCTTATCTTGAATTATGTGATCATTCTTAATGCATATTAATAGGTTGAATCATGCAGTGAAAGATCGCACTCTAAATGTGCACGCACACTAAAGCCTGTGTTGGTCTACTCTAACCAGACTTCATCACGTTGCGTATGCACGCCTCTGTAGGTGTTTTGTTTGTTTTTTGCAATATACTCGATAATGTCATGATGTCTCACGAGTTCAGTATTTGCGCTAAACCTGCGCAGATTTGGCTTGCATGAACTTCCCCAAGAAATTAATGAGTGAACATAATTTACGAAAAGTAACCCGCCAAATTGGCTAGTGATTTGACAGCGTTACCCGCCACAGCTGATTTCTAGCCCCATTTGGCGGGTTGGCGGGTGTTAATTTCAAACCCTGCCCTCAAGCCATCCAAGAATTTGTTTCCTTATCGGAAAAAGATTTGCATCCACTGGCAAGCATGTGATGTAATGATACATTTCTCCAAATCTGTTTTCTGATGAAGAAACAGATTAATCTACATCTTGGATGGCCTGAGGGTGAGTAATTGTTCAACACATTTTTGTTTTGAGGTGAACTATTCCTTTAAAGGAGCAGTGCACCTAAAAATGTAAACTTCTCAATATTTATTGTATTATTTTGTCATTATTTGTTTACCCTCATGCTGTTTTAAACCCGTATGACCTTATTTCTTCAGTGGAACACAAAAAGAGATGATCTGAAGAATCATGGTAATTTTTCACATTTTTTAAAAATGCAATTACAATGCAATTGAATGGGGCCGGAGATTTCCAGCTTCAAAATCAGATGCAAAAGCCTCATGAATACACCATAGAATTGGTCTACATGACTTGAGCATTTTATAAAAAAAATTCTGAAGCCATTTAATAGTTTTGTGGGAAGAATTTAAGTTTTATTAATAATAGTTTACATGCACCCAAATAATCAGATGTATTTATGGCTTACTCAGACTGAAAAGCCATCATATAAACACCTCAGTCAGTTCGATTTAGCTCAATCCATATAAAATTCCTATCAGATTGAAAATGGTGGTGTAGATCTGAAATGGTCCAAACAACAGGAACAAATTAAGCATGTAAATGCTTGAATCAGATTCATAAATAGTTTGCGCATATGCAAGTATGCTGTAATGAGTACGTTTATATAAGTTTTACATCTTATGAATGTGTTTATTTTACGTGTTACAAACTAATAAGTGTCAGACTGAATATTTTCTACATTTTTTGCTAATAAAGCTCTTCTGACATATGTCAGCTTTCTTTTTATCATGGTGACTTTCGCAGCAGAATACATGTGTATGAATATATGAACCACATTGCATCATTTAGGGTTCATATAAACAGAACTTTCAAAATCTGAAATCAGATTGGATACATTTTGATTGACGGAAATTAGTGAATGAATCAGCCGATCGAGTTCACAA